GCAGGGAGGGGAGCCATACAACGAGGAGGAATGGTTTTACACTGAAAGAGGGGAGATTGAGATTAGATATTAGGAAGGAATTCTTCCCTGTGAGGGCGGTGAGCCCCTGGGGCAGGTTGCCCCAAGAAGCTGTGGCTGCCCCATCCCTGGAGGTGTTCAAGGCCAGGTTGGACGGGGCTTGGAGCAACCTGGGCTGGTGGGAGGTGGCCCTGCCCAGGGCAGGGGGTGGCACTGGATGAGCTTTAAGCTCCTTTCCAACCACAACCATTCTGTGATTCTGTGATTTCAGACAATAGATAAAAATTGTTCTTTACCTGTGGTAATGAACGTGATGCCGTATTGTGTCTGTTCTTCTCAAGGCAGGTTTGCTAAGATACATGAGGTCTCTATGTTTTTGTGCACAGGTATACACACCTGCGTATGTGCAGGGGAGAGGCTGGTTAAATGTGTGTTGTCTTTCGGTCCTGCACAGCTTTGTGCGATGCTCTGGATCAGCTAATGCTGTGACTGAAAAATAATGGGGGGTTTTGTAAGCTTTTTCTTCTTTAATCGCTTTTTTTTTTTTCCCCTGGAAGGGATTAGTCATATCTGAAAAATATAAAGTACGGGTACTTGAATTGAACCGGTACATCAGTCTGATGGATCTCCTTTGGAAGCTACAGACTTGCCGTTTGACGTGCCAGTATTTCATGGCAGAATACACTGTGTTGTACCGTACTCTGTATTTATCACGCTGCGGCTTATCAAAGGTGTTGCCGATGTCTTTGGTTTCTGCAGTTGTGGATAACTTGCTCGGTGGGTTTCCCAGGTGATCCCGGGAAGCAGCTCACGTCGTGTGAAAGGTCCTTTCTTTTTCCCAGAAGGAGGTCCCTGACCTTCGGGGATGCCGGAGAATTCTTTTTGATGTCAAATCTCATGGCAGCTTTAGATGTGAGCGTGGGAGCAAGGCGTGTGAACCAGATGCCTTCAGCCTATGCAGACGCACAGCCTCAACCTCTAATTTTCCCTCTTCTCCAGAGCTTCAATGGAAGGCTAAAATCTTTCCGACCTTCATAAGCATAATTATGTGTTGGGGCGAGGAAGGAGAATTTCCTCCTGATCCCGGCAGGTGACAAACAGAGCCCAGAAGTATGGGATGGCCTCAAGGAAGCGCCGGCCGGGCCTTGCAGATGGCATTGGAGATCCCAGGATACCTGTTGCTCGAGGGACACGCACTGCATCTTTGGTTCTTGTTGCAAGCTTAGTTTTTGTTCTCAGGGACTGCCACCTACTGCCACGCAAACCCACCCATAAAATTGCTTATGCTGTCATAGAATCATAGAATGGTTTAGGTTGGAAAGGACCTTGAAGATCACTGAGTTCCAACCCCCCTACCCTGGGCAGGGACACCTCCCACCAGCCCAGGTTGCCCAAGGCCACCTCCAGCCTGGCCTTGAACACCTCCAGGGATGGGGCCTCAACAACCTCTCTGGGCAACCTGTGCCAGTGCCTCACCACCCTCACAGTGAACAACTTCTTCCTAATGTTTAATCTAAACCTGCCCTCTTCCAGTTTAAACTGCCTTTACAACTTCAGGTTCCCTTCCCAAGTACCCCGTTTGCCTCAGGTAGAACTTCACTCTTGGAAAGGCAAAAACTTTGACTTAAAAAAGTCTAAATGTCCTCCGAGTCTGTTTGTATCCATTTGATCACACGGTCCTCCCACGCGGGCAGATGCAGGCATTGGGCATGTCGCTGCCCGGCAGTGAAAGCATTTCGTCGGGGCAGCACGGGCTCTGCCGCGCCGTGGGATGGGCGAGGGGGCGGAGAGAAGGGGACAAACTAAGGACTGCAGCACGGCACGTGCGTAGGAGGGGCGTCAGCAAGTATTGGATTAATATTTAATAAAAAAAAAGCACAAGTTTCCTTCTTCCCTTCTCCCAACTTGTACTTTCATCTTGCAGGTGCGCCGTAACTCGTCGGTTTGTCCGTTTGTTTTCTTGGGAATTCTGCAGATTTGGTGGCCCCTCAGTTGTCTTTCTGATGCCGAGGACAGAGTTGACGGTCTTTGGTGGACCTTGAGTCTGCTCCGAGTCAATGGCTGAGGCAGAATGTGGCTCAGCACTACCTCCTTCTCCTCTGCATCCCCGCAGGCACCTCCATCCCCTAAAAGCATTTAAAAATAAAGGTGTTTGGAGTAGTTTTGTCTGTGTGAGAGAACATGGCGGTATGGGTGGGTAAGGTCTAAACTTGAGTCCTGCAGCAATTGTAGCTGATGTAGTTTGATGTACTGTATGGACAGAAAATTTTCATCCATGTTTCTCTCTTTTATTTGGTGATAGGGAAAATTAGCAGCAGTAACTGCGTGTATTGCCATGTGCCAGCACAGAGCATGAAGATAACCTAATGCTAAAATGCATCTTATTTATGGAATGAAAAAAACCAAGGGCATGGTTGATATAGGTGCATAGCGTAATTATCTCTCACTTTTCCTTCTCATTGCAGTTTGCAGACCAGAAGGTTTGACGTTTGAAACCGGATCTTGGAACGGAACACCGAAATGCCTAAAGACGATGACACAGAAAGCCAAATTGCTGCTGATTTGCCTTTGATTTGCCTCTGAGAATTGAAACCTGTTCAGTCCGACGCTGGATCCCCGGGGCGTTCTCGCTGTGCGCCGTTGCGTCTCTCCTGCTGCTGCCCGGCGGCCCGTGGCACGCAGCCCGCGCTCTCCGCTGGGGCCGTTCCTCTTCTCTGGGAATCCTTTGCCTTTGGGATGTATGGAGTCAGTCAGTTGTGTTTGCCAGCAGCCGTGAGGCACGCTCAGGAACGTGATCCCCCTCTCCCCGTGGAGAGCAGTGTTTCTCGTTGGCGGTGCTGGTGCTGCGGGGGTGGTGGGCCAAAGGGGTTGGTTGGTTACTGCTCTTTAGGATGCACCATTAATTTTTCTCATCTCTTCTCATCCAACAGTCCAACTTAAAAACTTAACTTAGATTTTGTTTTTTAAAAAAAATGAGGCTGGAAATCTGGTTAAATGCTTTTTCACCTGTTGCTATTTTATGGAGCATTGAAAATGAAGTGAAATCCAATACCTGGTAAACAATAGTCACTTTCTACAGAGGATTCTTTCCTTTTTTAAAAAAATCATGTAATGTTAATTGTGCTAATGATTTGGTTTATGTTTGGAATGGGAATCATTTTAATTAAAATATGCTTTGAGTTTCCCTGATGTGTTACTCGTTTTGGCATTTGCATATACTACTTGCATTCAAAGTCGGGTGATAAAATGACCGCGGATTTGTTTAAATTTTCCTATCAGAAAATGACACCATTGATGTTTTTACTTTTGTCAAGAAAAAAAAAAAAGATCTTCGAAAGTATAACAACTTATCATGCAAATTGCGTTATTCAGGCGAGGAATATCCAGGCGCCTCTGTGGCTAGCTGGTCTGTGAGATCAGTGAAACCTTTTCTGGCAGTGGGGTTGGACTAGAGGATCTCTGCCTCCGGCTCTGGGGCCCTCAACACAGGAAAGACACGGAGCTGTTGGAGCGGGGCCAGAGGAGGCCCCGGAGATGCTGGGAGGGCTGGAGCCCCTCTGCTGGGAGGACAGGCTGGGAGAGTTGGGGGGGTTCAGCCTGGAGAAGAGAAGGCCAAAAAGGGGAGACCTCAGAGCCCCTTCCAGTGCCTAAAGGGGCTCCAGGAGAGCTGGGGGGGGACTCTGCATCAGCGGTGGCGCCCTACGACAAGGGGCAGGTTGCCCCGAGAAGCTGTGGCTGCCCCATCCCTGGGGGTGTTCAAGGCCAGGTTGGACGGGGCTTGGAGCAACCTGGGCTGGGGGGAGGTGGCCCTGCCCATGATGGAACGAAATGGTCTTCAAGGTCCCTTCCAACCTAAACCATGCTGTGATTCTATGATTTAAACAGGGAAAGACTTCAGTTTGTTGTAATTAAAATTAAGACTCTGCTTTCCATACCGGGTCAATATATCATTTTGGTGTGAAGTACAAAGACAATCCTATCAACCTGTTGAGGCGCTGTGCCTTCTGAACAGAGACCAATTACGTATATATTGACACACAAACAGAGTAGTCTTCGTTATCTAGAATGGTTAAATCCTGGGAAAACTGAGGTGAAGGTATGCATAGCCAACAAACACCTCATTTACTTATTTGCATTGCCAAGTACATCATAAAAGCACATGCGAAATGAGTAAGATGCTACAGAGGGTGTAGGTGGTATGAAAATGAGGAGCTCATGTTATTTTCCGAAAATCCCACGGCTGGTGCTGAAGGCATCGTGGTTGCACCGCGTGAGCTAGCAACTCTCCTCGCTCGAGTGAAAACCATCTTCTCGTCCGTGTTAATCTCCACCTTAAATTTTCTTGTGTGTGGTTACATTTTTTGACTAAATATCTGATTTCATTTCTACGTTCCCCGTCCAGATGGTTTTTGTAGTGTCTTCGCTAACACAGACATAACGAGCGACGAACGTGGGTGGTTTTAGAAAGGATAAACCGGAGAGGAAGATGTGCCTGTGTCTGCGAGGCATCGATGGGGAGACGTGAATGTCCCAGGGACCGCGCGCACCCTTAGGTGGCAGTGCCGGGCTGGAAACCCCAAACTCCCGCCTCGCGCAGGGCCATGCAGTAAAAGGTGAGCGGTTTGCTTTCTTCCCCTTCCCGGGAGATCAGGAACCAGAAGTCATTTTTCCATCGTTATTCTTTATTCATCTGAACATCCTGGATCAGCGTTTCCAAATTAGATCACAAATGCTGAAATAAGATTTCGGTGAAATGGGGAACGCGGGAGCCGCCATGCGGCAGCGGTGGCTGGGGGCTGGGCAGAGAGGGGACAGCCGAGCCCCGGGGTCTGAGCTGCAGGTCAGGGACGGGGAGAGGACAAGAAATCAACACCAACCAGTCCTGGGGCAGGGAGCAGTGGTGGGGCTGGGCTGGGTCATGCCATCCCGGCATGACTGGTGGTCTTGATGTGGCTCATTTTGGTGGACCAGGAGCTGAGATGGCCCTTTCCAGCCTTGCTCCAGCTCAGGAAGTATTTATCTTCTTGCAGTCAACTCAACGAGTTTGAAGTGTTGCTATGTAAACCAGCTTTACAATCGCGATACCCTTCCTTCTGCTGAGCTTTTCCCAGGTCTTGCGCTCTCCTAACCACAGCTGCCGTCTTCACATGGACCGCTCATATGGATGATCCTCTGAAGAGGGTCATCCTCAACTTGAGGGTCGAGGAGATGGGCTCTTGTGCCCTGCCAGAGCCGCCGTCCTCTCCAGGCCAGGCAGGACGCTCTGCAGCTTGTGGCAGCGCCCGTGAGGGTGCTGGGTCCAACAATTTGGTTTAGTTTTTCTTATTCCTCCAAAAAGTTGGTTCCTGGTTAAGGTCAGCTCAGAAGTAAAAGCCCATCCGTAGAGTGTCTCCCATACTAGAGAAACATATATAACTGTGCAGCCACTGCATTGGGCAACGAGCTCCAGGTCCTGGGGTGGGAATGGTTGGTCTTCGGGTGCTTGCAAAGGCACATGAGTGTCTGGCTGCTATCAGAAGAATATCTACCATGAAATGAATAGCTTGTGTGTTTCCTAGTCCTTTGGCTGCTGCCTTCTGCAGGCATGAATTTCCTTTAGACCCTTTATTTGGGGAAAAAACAGGTGAAGCTTCCAGCAGCTAAACTCTCAATTAATTTTTCACTCATTTTCTTAACAAGCACGTTATCAGCCTGAAGTTGGCTATAGGGTTGTCCTCCCCCCAACCACGGGCTGGCCTCAACATCAGACCTGACAGAAACCGGTCTCCTTATGGGGA